TGTTTAATGATTTTAAATATAAACTCATTAAAGATTATTTGGACTGTGTGCATATATAAATAACATGCAAAGATCCTCCTTGGCATAGGCCTACGGACTGTCCCAAGTTATCGATCTTAATTTTATGATAATTTTTGATCAGTCACACAACACTGTGAAGCTATCCTTGTAGGCCTACGATAGGCAGAGATGAACGTGATGCAATCAGTACAGAATAATGTTGATCTGACCTAGTATAACAATAAATACGATCGGTCCTACCAGCCGAGGTAAATGATCTAGATTTCAGCTCGATAACCCCACATACGACATGACAATGACCTTGTTTACAAATAAAGAATTATTTTTGGATATTTGCTCGACGGTATAGGATGTAGGTCACCGATTGGAATGAGTGCTATAATACCCTGTACCGTATTGACAGAATTTCTAGTCAGTGAGCCACGTGGTATTTCTAGATATTTCTGCACCTCAATACGCATGCGTATATTATTGTCTGTAGAGGAAGCCAAAATAAGGAAAGCAAAACATAGTCACAGGCTCATTTTATGCTAACTTGCTGACACGATTTCTGCATTAGTAGAAGCGTGTCAATAGAATGTATATTGGACTCAACAGTCACAAAACACTCTGCGACATCAAAACGATATTTTGGTACGTATAATCAGATACTAGAATCTATATTCTTTGTAAAGAATGAGCTGAACTTGCATCCGGCCGGCCTTGGCCTTCATTGTTTGTGATCTAATGCAGTACTGGATTGACTTGGCATTGAATGTGACCGACTTAATTATTGACAGCTTAGTTCATTACAATTGCATTTTCTCCAACTCTCCCTATTTTTTCAGTATTGTTTGGTACTTACAATTAGTGTATCAGTCAGTTTATTTGGAAATGAAATGAATGGAGTTTTACGTCCTACTTTCTGCACCATGTGTCAGTTTATTTGGAAATATTCAAATGACAAAATCTGATATAATAAATGACATAGGCCTAATCATCATGGCCATGGGCTGAAGAGTGAAGCCTGTCATATATTCTAATTTCAATGTACTTTGTCTCTTACATTTACTTTGTCTCTTACATTTACTTATTCAACAACTACGCAATGTCTAAATTGAAAGATGAATTTATAAGCTTATGAAATACTACTGGAAGTCTTGCTGAAAATCTATGCCTATTTCTTTGACATATAAACATGCAAAATATAATAAGTACCGGTAGGCCTCCAAATAACTTAACAATGTAATTGAATTCATTTTGTGTACTTATCCCCTACTAAATGTCTAAATCATTTCCTGATAAAGACTTAAGAAACCTAGTTAAAATTTTGTCTGTATAAAAGATTCTTTCCGTATTTATAATTATTTTATCTCACTCACAGCTGTATTGTAATAAGATCTCCCTTACCAGCATAAGAAATGAAGATCCAGCTTAGATGACCAATTTTATTATCACTAGGGCTGCAACGATGAATCGATGAAAATTGATTCTTTCCTTCTTATCAAGGCATGGCGATGTACAGCACAATTCTTTGTTAGTGCTGTTTGATAACAAATGACACAGATTCCTTGTGTAAATAAGAATTGTATCATGATTTGATTTTTAAGTATAATTTCTACATCAAAATTTGTAAAAAAAAAAATAAAATAAAAAATTTTCTTTCACAATTCTTTATTATTTCTTAATGTTCTCATGTGCTAAATAGTGACAAAATTTTCCTGATTTTTAATATTTCTATTGTTTTTCTCTTTCCTTATCTTATAAATGAATCGCCATTATTCTTGCCATAAATTGTATAAATTGATGAAAATCAAAACTTCAATAATCGTTGCAGTCCTGGATATCTCCTATGTCATCACATTCTATCTATGATGATATTTAAAATTCTTAACATGATATATTATTGTTGTTTATTTAATTTCAGGATAATGCCCATTCAACATAATAAGTTGATTAATAGTAAATTGATCATCTTCACCTCAACTTATCAACAACTCTCTTATCCAGCATTCTGAATCAAGAGCTGTACAAGACCTGTCATACCAATACCAGTTAAAGGAAGAAGGTTTCAAAAGTTTGCAGTTGTAAAAAAAACAAGATGGGGGACAATAACAGCAGTGATGAAGAAATTTTGATGTTTCCTATCACTGATCTTGATGGAGGTAATACTTCACCTTCAGAAAGAGAGACTGAGAGTGACAATGAAAATATGAACAGACAAAACAAGAAAAATCTTGAGAAACCAAAGGCATTAATGACATTACGTCAAAGAAGATTACTGAAATCTTATCAAGACAGCAATGTCAGATATAAGTTACCATCTTCATTGCGACCATTGACAAATAATGTTAATAAAATACACTGGTTGAACGCTATAAGGAAATCAAAAAGTTTGAGTGATCCATGGGAGAAATTTCATATTGATCATTATAAAGTTGAGAATTGTGTTAGACATCGATACAATGCTTTGAAGAAATCTTGGAGCAAAGATACAGTCAAAGTGAAGATTGAACCAGAGGTAAGCTTTTTTAAAAAGAAGCTTGTTATATTTTGAAATGTATGTAGTCAAAATTTAATAGATAATGAAATTTTTGAAGCAAGGATTTCTCGCCCTTTTAATAAAGGAATTGTAACAACAAATGATGATTGTACAATGTTTATATACCATTGGGGTTAACTTTTATAAAAAAAATTTCTTGGATGGAGCCATATGCTCTCTCTCAGATAAAATACTTGAAACATTATCATGAGATTTAATTCAGAAGAAATATCTTATCTTGATTACTATACCTTTTGTTTGTCTTGTTTTAGTCGTTTACAAGAGGTGCTATGAGACAGTGTTATAGAATGTAAGTATTATTTGAACTACTACAGTTAGAAATACAAGAACCTTTATATGCATCATGCTATTTGCTCCATGATGTGATTTGTTAAAGTATCATGATACATGTGTGCATGTGAACCTAAAAGATAAATTTGATTCATCATTTAGATTTTCATTACACTAAAACCAAGCACAAATTATAAACTTATAATATATTATGCTTAAATTTAGTTTATGTGGATGATTTCCTTGTTTAAATCAATCATGTCTTGGTTGGGACCAAAATCCTTTTACAATTGTATTCAAACTACCTATGGAAAACAGTCAGATATAAATTTGGAAGATTTGGAAATTTTTGTTCCAAAAAATGATATTCAAAAGAATTATCGCAAATAGTATTCACGTAACATGAAGCCTATTGTACATCACTAAATGATCTGGAGCCAAAAAAATTATTGCTGTTCACAGATCATTTATAGTTTTTACTATAGTTGTGTTGTAGCTTAGCTATTATTTTATGGTGTTTATTAAACCTAATGATTCATATTTAAAAATGTGTTACAATTTTCATCATTGATTGTATAACAATAGTAACAGCTTTCATTCATAGGTCAATTTAAGACGAAGTTAATAAATATCGGAACACATAGGTCACTAGTATTATATTTTTTGACCCAATTTGAAAATAATAATAGTCCATTCAGCATTTTTATTGGACTTGCCTTAATATTACAGTATTTCCTAACTGTAACTATGATTTGACAAATTTTTAATATGATTATAATGTTGACCTGCGTCTGTCTCAGCTTTATGAATCAAGAAAAAAAAATTTCTATCTGTATGTTAAGATAGATGGTCCCCACTGTCCCAACGGTAATTAATTAAGACACAGATAATCAGGTTGTTAATTAGATTAATGGCTTTGTATCCAATTTGTAAGTCGTCATCAGTTTTTGGATAATGACCAAGCTTGAAAGACACTGACTGAGAAGTGTGTTTCTTGAAACATTTGAAAAGCCTTGTTGACAAATCTGTAGAAGGAGAATGATTTATATAATGAGCTTTTACCACAATATTTTATTTTTGAACTTATCTTGTCTATAATCTGTGTTAAGATTGCCTAGTACTTGCAGCAAAAAAATTAAGAAAACTTTGAGTACTAGCCACAAGTTTAATTTTATCATGGTTATTCATTAATAGTGTCCTCTACCTGCCTTGAAAGACCCAATTCCAATACAAATTTTAATAGTGGCACTTAAGATGAATATTGCATGTAAATATTGGTTGTGTGATTGCAATTAATTCTTGGTAAATATTTACATATTGTCGATATTATGTGGCTGTAATATTACCCCAATATGGCTTTCCATTATGAATAGTTCCTTGACACAATTCCTTGAACCTGTTTTATTCCCTATAGGAAGAAATTGTCCAATTTTACCAAGTCTGATGATTGGACTCATGCTGGAAATTATGTTGCCAAGTCTTATATTGAAGATGTTGAGAGGGACACTTATTTTGAAGATGTCAAATTACAAATGGATGCTAAACTGTGGGGGGAAGAATACAACAGACACAATCCCCCGAAGAAGGTAAATATGCCTTTCCTTGATGTGCACCGTTTATAATTCATAAATAAAAGTTTATCCTATACAGTTGTTATATTGAAAAGATCTAGCTCAAGATCCAAGGTTTCACTTGGCACGCTAATGTAGAAACTGTCTTGTATCATTTGATTTAAATGATATTCTATGATTATTGAGATCTCATATTACTATGGTGTATGGAGCTATATGGGATAAGCTATTGTAATGTCTTTTGATTGGGATTAGGTTGAAATGAGACATATAAATTTCACTTCCCCATAAAATATGCATTATTTTGAATGTTTTTTCATTCAAAAAATGATTTATTACAAATGTTAAATGACCCTTTCAGAGAGTGCATGTTTTACATCAGTCTTTTTATGGTTTAATTTAGATGATAGTTATGAGTCATACAGCATGTTATTCGTAATAATACATGTGACAAAGGAAATCTTGTGAAAACCAAAGCTGTGGTGACGCGTTATGACTATGACTTCTCTGTTCAATATGTTAGCTAGGTTTCTAAGTTGACACTCAAGCATTTATCCAATTGATTTTTTTCTTGTTAACATATAAATGTATTGTTCACATAAATCTCGTTATAAAAACCAAATAATATGACTATAGGATGTCAAATTGTAACATGTTTTTAAAAGCATTTCTCTAAATGCATTTAAATGTCCTATCAGCCTAAATCTGTGATTCATTTTAGTCACAGAATTTGATATGATTATACTATTATTAAGCTTCTAATGAA